TCCCCCTAAATGAATCACCTTAAACATTTTGTAACTAACTCAGTCAACTAATTTAAAATCAAATACATTAGACTAACAGTTTTAGCTTTAATTTTTAAAATAACCCCCAACACTTAGCTTAAACTCACTGAAATGCAAGTGACAACTGGGAGACATTAAATTAACTTTAGCAAGACAAACATTCTGAAAACAAGTTACACAACTTCAATAAAACCGTATAAAATCATTTATTGGGATACAAAAATGCATGTATAAAAAGAGTAACAAGACAACTTAAAATACATTAAAAATGACTCGTTCACCAAACATTACACAAGATTGTATATATCAAAAAAAAAGTACAGTAAAATTCCTCTTCTGTACAAAATGGCACCGAAAGCCTGTAACAAACAGAGAAACAGATTGTACACAAAGTGAGTCTCACTGGAACACAACCTTTAAGATGTTTTGCAGACTTGGACTTTCCCCACTTAAAGGCCATGGATATGTACTGACATGCATGCCAATTGGCTACATAGAAAAATCTGTCTAAAAGTTTTCCAAGATGGTCTTTGGTGCTACACGTACAACAAAGACATTCATAATACAATACATAAGTCCCACAGAAACACATCTACTCTAGAGAACCAATAGTTTGTCCAATGAATTTGAACTTTTCCATGACAATTCCAGTCAAAAGAAAACATGAAAGAACTTGCTATATGGAATAGGAAACTGGATGTAACATGTCAAGCTTTAGAGACGCAGCTGCAGTTCAAGACTTTACATAACACAAGTGACAGAAGTATAACTAGAAAGTAGCATACTATAGAAATGTCCTTGTCAGACTCTTTAAAACTAAAATAGAAGGCCAGAATGTTTATCAGGATTCAGATCATTAGCAAACAAACCAATTTAATCTCAGTACCAAGATCACCAAAGGTGACAAATCTCAAAGGAATTTATTTAGGGAAATTCAGGTTCAAAACCTCTGAAGAATCCATTTGATTGTGCCAATGAATGGAGTCATGTACAATCACAAATCAGTCCCACTTTATATTAGGTTTCTTTACAATGTTCTTATGGCAAAATAAATTAAAATAAAATATGGTTAGGTACAATGTACTTGGTGTTCATGTTGTATTGAAACACTTTTGCTGCTAGTGATGTGGGATATGGGGTAAGGTTAGGAACAAGTTTGGTGGTATGGTTTGAGAGGTTTAAGGGAATGATCAACAGTGTAAACACAGACGCAGTTACAGCAGGGTTATTGTTAACAAAAGGTATGCTTACACAACATACCAAAAACAGACAAGTTTGTCCTTTGCAGATCCATGTGACTGGAGATCAACAACGTTCTTGTCTGTATGTGAAGATTTGTCATGTAAACACCCCTTAAACTCGTATAAATATTTGCTAATTGTTAAATATATATATATATATTTGTTGACAAACTGAAATTAAGCTACTTTAGTAATAAACTGAAATGCAAGTTAAGCACTAAAATTAACTGGAAATAATTTATTTTTAATATAAGCACTAGGGATGAGTCGCGATCTTCGAATAGTCGAATAGTCGAACTGCGTTCGAAATTCGATCATAAAATTGCTTATTCGAATATCGTTATATTTTTGCGCAATTCCAATGTGACATAATTGACGGCGCGCCTACTGTCCTAGATCGCGCAGCAGGGTATTTTCCTGTCAGGGACACAAGGTGCCACTAACATGAATGAAACCCCCTCCTGCAAGTTCTAGGATACCATGTTTTATACATAGTGTAAAAAAAAAACAGAAGAGCATTGTCGTGACCGTTAACCCTTTAAGCGCCAAAGTCTCAAAATTGCGACAAGACGCCATACTTAATAAAACAGGCTGTAGATCCTAATATGGTGTAATATCTAGTTTGTATTCCCTACCACTAGATGGCAGACATGTAATACTTCTATTCAAGATAAAAATGACATCATGTTCCTATTCAAAGTGTTGGAGGAAACAGCAGAGCAAGTAAGCGATCGTGTCTTTGATGCGGAAGCAGTTCAGTTCAGAGCGTCTGAGTAAATTGTGAGATTTGTGAGAGAAAATCGTCAAATGGCTAATAAAAACTTGTACCGTGACGTCCGTGAGGATGTGTTGCAAATGTTATTCGCCGATTCTGACTCTGAAGGGGAATATTTGCCTTTTGTAAATGACGATCGGCCGTCTAATGATTGCGCCTCTCCCGGTACATCTTTGACACGCAATGGTGCCGCCGCGCAAGGCGAGAGTGTTCACGAAGCACAAACAGATCATTTTGACCATTTGCCCAACGGGGATGGGGGTGGCAGGGGTGGACGTGGTCTTTTCCTGAATATTACTGATGAACTGATAAATTAGGCTACTGCTCACATGTGTTTTACTACTAAAGTATTGTAATAGTCATAATTTTTCAATTCACACTCGACACGGAGTCGTAGCAGGAAGATTTAAGAACATCAAGAGCGTTGGATGAAGTGGCCGTGGACCTACAGTTTAGTCTAGTGAAAGCAAATCTGCAAATGCATCATTTTTTTGCCAGCGATGAAGATCTAGTTGAACGTATGATGTCTGTGAATGAATGATTCCACAGGACGATACATTCTAGTTCATTTCATTCAGGTAATACATTTTACAACCAAACAGATTATTACTCGACGATAGCACTACAAGTATGATCATATTATCCGTTTTTTGGACATATACATTCATTTATAGGCTACATTAAATAAGCTACCATTGTCCACAGTTTATGAAATGAACACCCGCCATCCCGTGGTAATGTGTGTGTGTATTGCGCAGTGGCATCACACGAATAGTTTTGATTGAAACTAATTAGTTTAAAAAGTAGGCTTTTGCAGTAACAAGGCAGGTTTGCATAAAATCATTATGAGATTTTTTTATTTTATTTTATCTAACGAGCATCTGGTTTGGCCATGCAAAAACGGACTGTCGTGCTTATTGTTTTTTTCTTCTATGTTAACTACCGGTATGTTAAAAAAAAAAATGACGAAAACATGTTGTTTGTTTGAATAATAATCAGTTTGTTTGATGACAAATCGCTAAAGATGAAATTGGCCTGAAATTGAAATTTTCGAACGATAATCGACTTTTGCTCCTCGATTTTCGAATGTCATTTTTGGCAGGAATTCCCATCCCTAATAAGCACTATATGATCTTTTTTTTTTTCAATTAGCAAATGGTATGGGGTGTTTACACAACAAATGTTTCAATTTGACTGACAGCACATAAAATAACCACAAAAAAAAGCCAATTCAAAACATTAAAAAAAAACACAGAAATTAGTTAGATGTAATTAGATGCAGATATGTTTAAAATATCAGTGTAAAACAGGTACACAATAAGTGCACTTTAACTACAATGTACTATTAATCATTTGCTAAAGACCCAATATAAAGTGGAGCCACCAGATCCAATTACAGTGGTTTTATAAATTGTTTTTTTTGTGCACAATTTAGAAAGGATATTTCTTGTATTTGCACATTTAAACTACTTGCTGAGAACTCATTAAATATTTACACACTTCACCTGTAGCAGCTGCCTAGTAGACCCAGTCTGGAGAGAAGCTCTCGCCATCAGTCACTGAGCAACACAAGAGAAGAGTTAATACACAAGACCTCACAAAACGACTCCCAAAAAGACAAGTCCAGCTCTACACAAATATCTAATGCTTGTAAAATTTGAGGTCTTTTTTTGTCTATTTTGTACAGCTACAAGAAAACTTTTAATAACAGTGTAATTTTGACAAAACTAGAATCTATTTGTTTTTAAAACAAGAGTTGCATATAAAATAACACTAAGCTTGTTTTGAGAAAGTTGAATGTTTTATGATGTGTTATCCAGGTTTAGGAATATTGACTTTTGACTTTGTAAACAACGCAATTTGAATTTGCAATGATTGTGTACAAATGAGTGAATGAACAGTTGTGCTAAGAGAGAAGTTTAGGGTTGATATTACCTTTTTGAAGCTTGCATTACACTTTACGCCATCTTTCCCAATTTTGTCGTTTAAGCCGGCGAAAGTCAGGTAAGACTGAACATTTGAATCATCTTCACAGTCAAAACTTTGACCCTGGGCTACGAAAGCCTTTGTGTTGAGTGATCTGGTTGGACAATACATCTCATGCCGTTTCTTTTGCTTTTTTGTTGTTTTGCACGCAAAGTTACCATATGAGCACCAAACATCTAAATCGTTTTGTGCATGTATACTTTACCTTTTAAAAAGGGGAATCTATCTGTGCTTTTAGAGGTGACTCTGCAGGTCTTACCTCAAGATCCTTTTCAATAGAAGACAAACATGTAGAGTCTGTGACATCAGAGGGATTTAGTGACTGATGCGAGGTTGCAACAGGGTTATCGCTTTTAAAACAGGTATAAACACATTAAAATTCCAGGATTTCCTTATTGTGTATAAATCATTGTTAATGTTGAATAGATTGACTATTATCTGTTAAAGAGGTCATATCAATCCACTTGTTTTTGCACCAAAAACAGGCAGACACGTCATCGTAGTTTGTCCCAGTAGGCTTACCGAATAGGCGTTGTGGATCGAGTTAAATTCAATTACTTGAAAGTTTGGAGTTCTGATTGTTTTCATAGTACAACGGCCATCAAAAGCATGAACCGATTTAAAAGATATGACCCCTTTAAATTATTCAGAAATAAAAAAACAACTCAGATTAGCTTGTTGGAGGACCAAGGTAACAGATTTTTGGAAATATTGGTCTTTAATGTTATTCTGATGTCAATTGTTCCTGTACAAGACATAAGGTGCAGCTTTTTACCGATCTACTTGATACAAATAACTCCACGCTAATTGCAGGCTATTTATCAACGGTTTATACACAATATATTTTGAACATCAAAACAAGTTTTCTATCTAAATATTGTGATGTTATAAAATGCATGCAGAATTTTGACAGTTTGCAACAGTTGACAGTTTTATATAGGATGACTATTACAACTTTAATAAGTCAAAAACAAACGTTTTGTAGGCTGTAAAAGAAAACTATGCTTTATTGACAAACTGATAGGGACACATTTTGGACATATTTAGTTCCCTAGTTAGGCAATGCACACAACTTTGCTAATATTACGGAAACTGCAAAACTAAAAACACCAAAAAAAAAAAACAAGTCTAATATTTGGATATTGTACTTACAAAGGTTTGAGAGGGCTGTACTTTTACCTGTCTAGAAGTAAACTTGAACCTTTGGGATATTTGTTTTGCTCATTTAACAAAAGGAATCAGCAGATGCGAATTTTGAATGTTTTCACGAGACTTTCAAACAATAAATAGCCTCAAACCAAATGGAATTTGTTCATTTGAAAACTAAGTAACATGTTGGTTTGTACAGGAACTAATGTTTTTTTTTGAGCATCCCTCAATTTTTTTGTTATGCCTTACAAAAAGCGCGTTTGGAATAAATCTAAGTGATATTAACAGGCAATTTTCTCTTTCTTTTTTTTTAGCAAGTCACTTTACACATGGACATCAGCTAATTATCTAGCATTCAGGTATCCATTTTTCAGAGAAGAAACACTTAACCATTAAAAGAAAAGAAATTAAAAAAACAAAAACAAGTAAAACAAATGCAAAGAGAATATAAGCACAGCATATAATCGCAAATCTAAAACGTGTCATGTTGAACTTATAAATGGTCATCGTCCTACGTAAAGAGTAGATTCATATTAAAAAGGGAGTGTTAACCAAAACAGGATACAAAAACAACTAGAATTACTTTAGGTGGGTTACAAGAGGTTTACGAAGGGGAGGCGGATGCCCAAACAACTGCAGTGACGGAAAGCTCTCAGTATCTGCCATACGGGTGTTCCCGAAATGACTTGCCCTGCCGGGCAGCCGGTGCCTTTCCCCCAGCACCACCCCAAGCGGCGCCTTCCCAGTCATCTTCTGCTAAACACACAAATAAACATTAAACATGGATATTCACTCAAGGATAAGTGCATCATATGTACTTTTCCTTGCATTAGGCACTTGGCTGTTGTAGTCTAAGCATGCTAAACATCTAACATAAGAGCTGTTGTACAATATAACCATTCTATACATTGCACAATCGAGAACATGTCTTACTGTAAGACTCGTAAGTCTCCTGTGCCTCACCGTGACCGTAGTCATAATACTCTGTGTCTCTGTGGAAGAAAAAAAGGAACAGATTAAACAAAAGCCATTTTTTTTTTACAGAGTCTTAATCTTAAATCATGGTAGGACTTGGGACTTCGGCTGGCCATAAAGTTACAGCATTACATTGAGTCAATTCGACTTTCTCAGAAATATTTTAACTTGAAACTGAATGAAACTTTGGAAATTAATCAAAAAGGAAGAATCTCAAATCTAAAGAAACAGATGGTGAGGGAAATGGCACTCACGGCTGTGGTGCAGGTTGACTGTAGTAGCTCTCATATCCTTCATAGGCAGCCTCTGGATATGGTTCTTCATAGGCCTGAGAAAGCATAGGAGACAATGGAGATGTCAAACATTTAAAGACTTGCAAAGCCTTTTAAGTTACAAATTACTGGCTCGATCCAACAGAATGGTTAGTTGTGACTGCATATCCTTCATTTGATGATACGTACTTATTCATTCAAACTAGTATTAAAATAACTTTCTATTTGAATACATTTTAAAATGTAATTTGTTCCCATGTTGGTAAAGCTGAATTTTCAGCATCATTACTTCAGTCTCGAGTGTCAGATGATCCTTCAGAAATCATTCTAATATGCTGATTTGATGCTTACTAAAAATTAATGTTGAAAATATGGCTCGAACAAAAATATTTAACAGAATAATGTTAAAAAGTACCGCATTTATTTAAAATAGAAAAATTAACTTTCAGCAAGGATACATTTATATTACAAGACATATATTATGTTCCAATAACTACATACTGGCCCCAAACTTTGGCAGCGAATATAAAACAGGAGCAACTGCTGGTGTTGTGGATATACTCACATATTCCCCGTAAGCTTCAGGTTTGGCCGAGTGCTGTTGGTGGGAGAGAGCAGATGCTGGTGTCATCCTCTGAGTCGGGGCTGGTGGTCTTGATCGAGAGGCACCTCCTCCTCTGGTTGGTGTGGAGGGTGGAGGACCACCCCGTCCCACGGGGGCTCCTCGTGATGAAGCTCCGCGCCCTGGACCTCCTCTTGGAGCTCCTCCACGTGGCGCTCCACGGGGGGGCATACCGCGACCCCTACGAGAAAATGTATTACATATACACTCCAAACACTTAAGACTGTTCAGATCAATAAAAACAATGACTCTGTATCAAAAATGTAGCCTCTGTTTGCTACATATATCGGTTAGTGGTTCTCACCTAGGGGGTGGTGGGCCACCACGACCTCTACCAGGAGGACCGAGACCTCTGCCGTGGCCAGACATATCCTGGGAGCCATTCAAAAACCCTGGATCCATGAAAGCATCCGGATGCATCTCATCAAGACCATCCACCTGACACAAGAAAAAAGGATTAATCAGACTGATCAATTAACAATTAAATTAAGAAAAAAAAAAAAAAAAAAAAAACAGATTTAAACAGCAATGCTTAAAGCCTAAACTTAACTACCAAATCAGCTAGATCAGTGATTGCAGTAAATGCAGTATACTGTTGCTAAACTGCAGGGTGTGCTTAAGAGTAAAACAGCATTAAGCCGCAAGAAATACACTATTCTCCAAGCGGCTTTCTGTGCGTGCACTCCCGGGTGGAGTGGAACACGGAGAAGCAAAGTATACGTTGGGTTCAAATAAACTAAATGTCCAAATGCCGGCTTGGAGAGCATTTACTTAAACAATCAGTTATGTCTGAAATGAACAAACAGTTGGGAAATAAGTTGCATGTGTAACAGTATATTGGATCCGTGCAGTGGTTCTTAAAGTGACAGCAGTCCAATAAACCTGCTGCCGTCTGTTTCAATGTTCATAAAACACCAAATCACTCACTGCTCTTTAGTAGACTTAGTAGGATTAATCTATATTTCATTTACAGTGAAGACTGTGCAGTGGTTTTACTTTATTGATAGACTTTTCCCCCACTGGAATGCTATATTTAAGCTCCAAGCGGTTCCTAATCACCTTTAAGAGAGGGAATTAAATGCTGCACGTAGCTTGCCAATAAATAAATTGTCAATTAATGCTCTCATCTCTTAATTTATTCTTAAAATGCCTTATACCCCAGTAGGTCTATTTGAAGCCCTCCATTTATCATGTCGTATTATTTATTTTGGTGATCGGTATCGGACAACACAACTTCCAGTGACCGGCTCATGCATAGATTATGAAAAATAAGGATGTAAAAGCATCATTTGGCTTGCATTCACACTTACAGGCATTAGGAACTTCTTGACCTCATCCATGGCATGTGCCATACGCAGGTAACAATCGGGAATGGGAGCAAAAACCTCGATGTGCACGTGCAGCTCCATGGCCAAGTGTGCATACTTCGGATCACCACCCTTCCTCAGCTCCTCTTCCTGAAAGGTTTCACAATTTAAGCTTTAGTAACCGGGTCATTTAACAGTTAACTCATTAGCAGCGCAAAGCCTTCATTACCTTGTTCTTATCCCTCATGGATCCTTTGCCGAGCACTGAGATCTTTGCTCCGGTGTCTTCCTGCAGACGTTTAATGGTGCTGCCCTGCGGCCCCAGAATCTTCCCCACGAAATTAAACTGACAGGAGAAATGAGAAAATATTAGTTAAATGTTCAACAAGTCCTTGCATAGTGGAGAACTCTGACAGCGCATGACTTACCCGAGGGTACTGCTTGACAGGAATGAGCACTCGCTCTTTCACCCTCACGTTCTTGGCAGTGAACAGATCCAGGTATGTCTCAGACTCTTTTTTAGGCTCACCCTTCTGAACCCTCTCAATCTCTGCAAAAGAAAACACAATCAGCTCACTGCAAAATGAAAAATGGACCAATTTTGCATTGCCACATCAATCCTAGAAGTTGTAAACATTCTTCAAATTCAACTAAAAAACGAATTGAGAACTGTTGTTGTATAAACTGATTTAAATGTGTAATTACTAACTGGTTGCAGTTTTCATAATAAAGTTAAAATACCATAACTTAAATTTTACCCACAGAGCTCAGGACTAAATTAGAGCATGGTTTTTCAAAAGTACAAGAACTTTGCTTGTTAAAGAAACCAAATTAAGCAGAAACTCCTCATCTCTGGCCCTCAAGATCCACTTTCCTGCAGAGTTTCGCTCCAAGCCTAATCAAACACCTGAACAAGCTAATCAAGGTCTCCAGGATTACTAGTAAGTTACAGGCGGATGTTGATCAGAGCTGAACTCAACAGGAAAGAGGATCTTGAGGACAGAGTTGAGAACCTCAGTTTTATACCATCAAAGTCACTGCTGAAGCTGCAGTGTTGTCATGTGGTACCAGTTCCTGTCAGGCCGGATCAAATCACAATGGTTTGTGATAATGGAAAACCTCATTTAATTGAATGATATAAAGGACGACATTGATTTCTATGCCCGTTGATCCTTGTGGTTAATGGATTTAAATAAATGCAGGCCCTCAAATCAGGATTTTGCTTTCTTGAATGAACCATAACCTGTTTTCTATGTAATGTGTGAAAGACAAACATAAACTTGTATGGTATCCAACATGTTGCAAACAAAAAACATTTAATGCAAATTCTATTTTTTGCTTTGAAAGATAAAATATACAAAAAACAATGAGGGGTTACATGAAAGTTGAATAAAAAAAGGGTCACCTTACATTCTCTAAAAGCTTATACTAACTTATATATTACAACAAGAGTCTTGCATGCAATAGAATCTTTAGAAATCCATAAAGATTAAATATCAATAAAAAGGTACACTTAATACTATTAAATTGAGCAAGTTTATAATTTACTGGGTAGCAATTATCTATAATTTAATAGACTTCAGAAACTGTATTAGAAATTGCTTAAGCCAGAAATTCCCATTCTATTTCACTAAACTTATTACAAAAACTCGCACAAGTAGAGAAATCTGAGAATTAAAGATTACGATTTATGCTACGGAAAAGACATTTGTTCAACAAATAGGATGAGTTGTCAAATATAGGAGGTTGAGTTTCAGCCATCTTTCCTAAGTGCATAAATTACCGCGAGGGCGGGAAAACCTGTAGATCACATGATCACAGAAACTGCAAACGAGAACGACAATCAATTCCCAATAACAAAAGTCCAGCCCTGCATTTCTATTCGAGAAGCAGTTTCACTCCGAAATGCACAATATAGATGAAAATATGACTTAATAGTCTAATGTATAAAAGATAAGGGTTAAAAAATGCACAAACCACATTTCTCTTTGTCTGCAATCTTGGGGTTCCTCAGAGGAATTATGGGATTGCCCTTCTTCACAAAGGAAAGCACGTGATGCTGCCTTAATTTGATTCATTGAAAACTACCTTTTCAACTTCATTGAACATCGTTCTCTACAAATTGGCCTAAATGCACTTTTATATTAAGTGCACATTTAAAAAGATTTATTTTCCTGTTTAACCTTTGAACCAGAAACGGTTCTCTTTGATGAAATCCCTGGTGGCCGAATCACGAATAAATAAATTTCAACGTTGTTCAAATAAGACCCAACTTAATTCTCAATGTGGAACAGGATTAAACTAAAATAATCATTGTTTGCCAGATAAAAACGCAAACAGTTAAATATTAAGTGCAATAAACAGGCGAAGTTAATCTCAATAATGATATATGAGGAAAAACCTATCAGGAGCCATGCGTGCAGGTAGGCAGAAATACAGTTATTTCCCAAATTCCCAACATTAAACGCAATATAACGCAACAAAAATCCCTCACCATACAGCATTGCGTTGAAAAACACGATGCGGCCTACCGGAGCAAATCCCCGCCTCAGGCCTACAAACACGCATTTCGCCGACGCACGTGAAACTCTCTCCGGTTAGTATAGATTAACTAACCACTCTCCAAACATCTCGAGCTCAATATTAAGCATTTTAGAGAAGTTTTGCGTGAATGGTTTTATTGTGAATAGATACGCACTGACCTGCACTCAGGAGTTTCATCGCGTGCGTGAACGAGGAGTCCAGGCTGTCTTTCTCCGCCAGTAACTCCGGCAGATATTTACTGTCCCCGCTGCTGCTCTTCCTCTTGTTATTAGCATCCATGTTGATCACGGTTTTCGCGGAGAAATCAGGCGAAGTCAGAGCTGATGGAGCAAGCGCGTGCTGAAGCTTATCTACTCTCTGAACAAAGGAAGCGACAGCTAATGGCGCGGGTGGAAGTGACATCAGGAGGCGAAATCTGCTTCCGTTTTAGAGCCAGGGGGAGGGGCAACTACCGATAGCAAACGACTGTGATTGGACGGTCCCGATCAGCGCTGAGAAAAGTATCAGGTGTCACGGGTAGAAATTAGTTTAGGCCCATCGTGAGCCTAACTTTATTATAATTAAAACGTGATTATGGCTTATAAGAGGTGTAAAACATCATATCATCCCCACAGCTTTCGACTTTGTTTTTACAATGTTTAATTTGGCCTTTTCACTTATGACATCTCTTTCCATAAGGAATATTATTTGATTAATTTGTTACTTCTGTTCACAAAATTTAGTATACAAGTACGGTGGTCATAATAAACCACTATTTCTAATTTTGAAATGAGTTCCAACACCCAAAGACAATTTATAATCTGAAAAACAAGAAAGCTGTTAAATGTATTTTGTAACCATTTCAATGTTTCCATCTAAGTTTTTTATTTATTTATTTGTATTTTGTCTTTATATACATGGCTCTAAAAGAAAAGATGTAAAAAACAACAACTGGCTGTGTGTTTCTGAGTTTAAACTAAGATCAAGCACTTGCAAAGGTTATATTTGTAAAAAAATTGTAATTACTTGCCTACTTAGAATTTGTGAAAAGGAAAACATAAAATAAAATTATAAAACGTAAAAAAAGGTTAAATATAGTTTTATTGTATGATCTCATATTTGTTTTAATTTTGTAATTTTTGTAAAGTTGTAATTTTGTTACACTACTGTTTTGCTATTTGCAATGGTTACTATTTAACTTTTCATGTGATTTTTGAGGAATTGTATTAAAACCAGTTACCTGCAAACATTAATAATTACTAATTATAATGATTGTAAGTCATATGGAATGGACACAACAAATAAAAACAAACACATTCAGAAATCTATTGTCTCTATGTGTGTGTGTGTGTGTGTGTGTTTTCCATAAAATTGAGATTTCAATGATATTTTGACCACTAAATTAGGAAATGTCCCCATTCTCCATTTCAGAAATCTGGTCACCATAACCTAATCTGGATGATGACCTTAAAATAAAATAAAAATTAGATAATCTAATTTAAAGATGTGCAGAAAATAAAAATGACTTGGGGCTACAATTCAGAATAATAATTGAGTATTTAAGTAAAGTGAGCAAGTGACCCGTAATAACCACATTAAGTCCTAAATATTTTATAATCAGTTTAATTCTGTAAAGACAATTCAGAAAAGACTGGGTGAAAAAAAAAATGTTTTATACTCTTGGTGATGTTTATAGATTGACATTACAAGTGCAAAGATGAGTAGGTGTAGAATGGAGGTTGATGTTGATGGGGTAGATTGTTTTTAACATGTAAATGTGAAGACATTAGACAAAAGAATATTGATTAGGTCATATTGTTGTGTTTCACACAGGGTAAGAATGTGAATGCGAGCAGGGCGAAGACAAAGAAACATAAATGGTGCCGTTTGCAGCATGTCTGGCATATAGGACAATGGATGAATGGGTGCTTGGGAATGGGAGGAGTCTGCTTTATCTCCTGAATATAGTCTTAGGAAATGAGAGAGATTCATACTAGATCATGGTTGAATTTATTCTCATTGTGCTTCAAAGCCTATATGTTTTACTGACTTTGTTTCCAAAGGTTACATTAGTAAAAAGTTGCAATTACTGTATACAGTATATTCAGTTTATTAAATGAAAATATAATTACAATTAGAAAATGTAAAAATAAAATAAAAAACATTTTGTTAAATTTTTTCAAGACTTTCAAGACATTTTACATTTGCATCTCAAGTAAATGTGTCTTAAAGATGTTTAGATATCTGTATTGAAAAACAGGACAAAATACTCAAGAAGGATATATATATAGCAATACATTTAATGCCATGACTTTATGAATTTAAGACTTTCTGCCTTTTTTAATTGTTTTAAAACCAGCTAGAGTCAGTTTGACCGGAGAACCTCATCACTATCACACACACAAAAAGGTTAAGCCTTTAAGATTGACACATTTCAATTGTATAGTAAAATTCCATCAAATTGATTTAAATAATCCTTACATATTCATTCTATGAATTGAGAATGAATAACGAGTTTAAATGAGTAAAAAAAAAAAAGCCACAAAAACATCAGTGTACTAATTATAAATTATAATATTTTATGAACCCACAATAATTAAAAGACAAAAGTATATTGTCCTTATTTTAAATTCATGTGATATTTCAATGATATTCTGAATGATGTCAGCTTTCTAATAAATAGCTATAATTGCCCATTTTATACACATGATTTTATTAAATTAATCTATTTTTATGATTCATGTCATATTGGAAGTATTGATCTTGATGGTCCTTAAAACTGGATTAAAAAAAGGTGGTGTCACTATAGACTGTGTCAAAGGGTGTCACCCATTACATGTTCAACAGTTTTGAAAAGAGTATGTAAACGTGCGAATTGGCCTGATACATAGAGTTTCAGTGGAAATCTATTCACGTAATTTGAAAGATGTCATCATTGAATGCATTTTGTGCCAAAGCAATGATAATAATCCATAGTTAAGCCCACACATACTGTAAAGTCCATGGGTCAGAAAGTAAACGTCCTGCCATATATTTATTCCACCCATGAACTCAGCCAGCTGATTTCACAAATTAGTTCTCTCTCCTGTGCTAATTAGCAAATCCAGGTGATTGGAACAATACTGAGGAGGACTTCACACCTCTGCATATACTGATGTTGTGCTCACTGTGTGAAGAGTTTAGAAAAAGTAACCCAAGTATTGTGAAATGTGTCATTGCAAAAAATGTCTGAAGCACTACAGACCGAACCACACCAGTTACATCACTAAACACCAGGGAATCATGGCACTTTTTTTTATTTAGAGTCCACATCTTAAATGTACATCATAATTATTACAGCACATTGAATGATTTCATTTCATTTTTGTTCTCTTGAAAAGCTCTGGAAAACCTTTCCAAGTCCAACTCAAGCTTATTTAAGAATCTTTACATAAAGCAAGAAACAAACTGCAAGAAGCGCAGCAGAACTTCAAGTACCTGTGAGCGATACTATACATGGATTTAATCGTAGCATTGATAATTAAATAATCAGTGTTTGATTTTGTTCATACATTTAGCAAAGACAAGCATTAAAATGCAACAGACTGTTGTTCTCACCCTGATCAACGCAAGCGTTCGGTCAGCGGTTTAAAAGATTGGTAGTTAACAGCACAGTGATGTAGTAAGGGAGCGACGCTTTGGCTCAGAGTACACTTCTTATAAATAATGATGCATGACAGTTCTGAGAACATGCGTCACAACACACACACACACACAGTTTAGTTTCATTTATATTGACTTGACCAAGCTTGAAGGTGAAGTGAGTAAATTCTGCACGACTAAACAGTATTGCAAAAAATCACTAGATTTGAACACTTTCAGAAGTTGGACTGTGCAAAACTTGATGCTAAGGCATTGTTGGCGGGTGCCAAGGTGTTTCTATGAGGTTGTTAAACAGCTCTAAGTGTCTTTTTCCATGTTGCTAAGATGTATACTGGTCTAAAATGTAAAGAGCCCATGCACATCTCTATTATTGTATGGTCTATAATTCGACTCCATTCTTCAAAAGCAAATCTAGCTGATTTTTTGTGGCTGTTTTATTATCTGGAAGGTGAAAATTGCAATTTGATCACTCTAAATTGATCTAAAATCTAATTGATCACTAAGAAAAGTAAAACATAATTTCCTCAACAAGTTGCACAATTTCACATTCTAACACAGACTTTGGTGCGCATTACATGCTGTTTAACAGACAGGTAGCGCCATATTTCATTTTTTGACAGGAATGAAAACGATGCTGTGATGGATAGAATTACAGTGCGCTCAATGGATTGTACTGTTGTTTAACATACCGATTGTTCAGCTGACGAAAAGTCAGACTAAGAAAAGTTATATACTTAGTCTGATCTGCTCATCACTGTTAGAATGATTGAGATGGCCAATCAAATCAAAGGCGGCAGGGTTTACTGTTCACTGAAGACGAGTGAGAAATCAAACACAATGCTTTTAGCTTTAATGGTGAGAGTGTATGGTAAGATGTAAGTAGCTAATCATATAATATTTGACAATTGTTTCACGACAGAAATGTTAAACGACCCACAGTAATATCCAGTGAAGCAAACTTCGGAACTTTATCAAGTTTTGCCGTTTCGAAATAAAACATGGTATCATGTACGTTATTCATGCATAACTGAAAGTGACGAGACCAGAAACATTTAGCGTTTTCAACATTAGCGATACGAATACGATTGCATGTGTGCATATTTAAAAATAAAACATAATTTGCTAATAGGTTTATTTGATTAGTTCACACCTACAAATATTTCTTTATTCCTTTAAATCTCTTTTAATCATTTAATTAATTTAAATAAAAAGACCACAAAAAAAAAAGGTCCCCCCGCAAAGTACAAGGCATGGTTACGGCCTTGTTTAAATTTCGGTGGCTTACACAAAACGATCTCGGTTTCGTTTGGTACCGAAGTGAGACAGAAATTACACACTTTTCCTATTTAAAAATGAACTTCGAGATCTAACTATGCAGGCATGCGATTTAATAAGAACTAGCACAGAATCACTCACGGATATAAATACTCAACTGACCTGATTATTTCCTTATTAGGTATTTCAAGACCAAAAAAGAGGTAAATGAGGAATTCAGCTATTTCACTCCCCATTACGTGCTGACTTGCGGTAATCATCCATCACGACTAAAAAAACATTATCCACATCTACCTTTACTAGGAAAAATGTTTAATTGTGAGGTATTTCTCACTGCAAGTGAAAATCATTTAGCTAAATGTCATTTCATGGGCGTGAAGGAAAGTTTCTTACGTAAAACCTCATAAACTCATTTCTTTATTTACAGAAGCCTTTTACGATGGTGATGAAAAGCATCCATCAATGTCAATATCAATAATCCCCATCTGGAAAGTTATTTCACCATCTGGAATAAATTTCATTTGAATACACAAGAGAAAAGGCGCAGTGACTTTTGAGAACAGTGAAGGCACCAGGACACGCCATCCGTCTAGTGCAACCCAAGAGTGACAGGCGATTGGAACTAAAGTAACGCAATTATGTTTATCAAGCACGCATCGTCCCACAGAAAGAAGAATCGGGGGCATGTCTTATCTATATTGATAGGCATCATCTCCACTCAAGAGTTCAGAACACGTTTGGTCTTTAGTGAAGGAAACGGATGCTCATCTTTTGTTCGACGTCCACTTTTTCCAACACCTGAGGAACAAAAAGAGGCATTTTAAAAGAAATAGTTCACCCAAAAACAAAATTTGGCATTATTTAAAATCCCCTCCATGTCATTCCGATCCTGTATTGCTTTCTATCTCCCGTGAAACACAAAATAAAACTCTGGGGTGAACTATCCCTGTGGGTGGGGCACACATAGTTTGAATTCTAATCCCTTTTCCAGGAATTACCTTGGTGAACTCATTGAATGAGATACACATGTCTCCATTAGTGTCCGCCTCCTGGATGGTTCTGTCTGCAATGCTTCCAAGTTGCTCATCAGAAATATTCACTCCAACCATCATTCTCAGCACCTGGGGGGAAAAAAGTTTCAGTCTTATTTGGTTTTTACATTGTTATGCAGTGTACTCTAGAGGCTGAAAAGCAGACTGCAATTCTTTATGCATTCACTTTTTTTTCAAATGGCTTATTTCGTGATGAATATAATTTGATGTGATCTCCTGAGGTTTAAAAAAAGACCATCTACTGAAACTAAGCTGCAAAAAAAGGTTCATACTGAAACCCTTGGATTTCTAATGTCAGAAACCGGAATAATTAAAATACAATACATTTCCATGCCTGTTCAGTGTTGGCCCACCAGTTACATTAAAACAATACAAGTAGGATGGATACTATTTATATTATGGTTCCCACACCTTGGTTAACTTCAAATTCAAGGACCTTTAAGGACTTTCCAGGTCCAATACCCTCAAATTCAAGGACTTAATGTGGGGACAATATAGTGTAGATCAAATCCATTATATATTTTCATATATATATATATATATATATATATATATATATTCACATATCCAAATATCTTGAAACTTGCATTTTCCAGGCATCACGTTTCAGTGGTTTCAGCCTATTTTTGCAATGTTTCACGGTGTATCTGTGAAACGGTGAGGTACCATCGTAGTAGTTTCGTGCGCGCGTGAACGTCATGGCAACGTACACAAAGTACCTCACGCGGGAAGCACTTAACGTAATGTGTAAATGCGAGTAACTGGCGTAAATCAAGCAAGCTAGTATTCAAGTGTCTCGAAGTGTTGGCGAAATAACACATTAGCGGACCGGAAAAGCTCTTGCACAAAATAAATTCAAGCACTTTCAAGGACCTGTATCTATTTTCAAATCAACTTTCCAGGGCCTTGAATTTTGTTTTTCAGATTCACAAACTTTCAATGATTTCAAGGACCCGTGGGAACCCTGATTATATTATTATATATATTTTTTACAATAACTGTTTATTTGTAGCTTTGTGCATCCACTGATCAGCAAACATGAACAGAAGCTCAGAAGGCGTGAGCACTCATTGGTTCTTGCTGACGCTCAAATGTGATGCGTAACACAAGAACGAACCTCATTGGTTCTCACACGTCAAGAGAACATGCTTGCGCTTCAGTTTACCAAAGCTGATGAGCGAGTTGATTAATGTCTATACGTGAATAAAGGCCAAATTCAATCTGTTCATCATATTAAGTGATCGTGTCTCTTCAGAAAAATTTGGAATAAACCTCAATTCATATGGATTAGTTTTACGATCTCTTTATGAACTTTCAAAGTGAAGTCAAAGTTTCAGTTGCGTAGCTGTCAATGGAGGGACAGAAAGCTCTCAGATTTCATCAAAAACATCTTCATTTGTGTTTCGAAGATGAATGAAAGTCATACAGGTTTAGAGTAATGAGGGTAGTCAATGACAGAATTTTCATTTTTGGGTGAACTATCTCTTAAATGTGTAGTGACAGATTGCTGTAGCGCCTCAGTTCAAGCGGCACGTGAACCGATCACCTCTTCCTACTAGTTATAGCACCAAATAAACATAAATGAACATAAGAAGGTATGTAGTTTCAACTGCGGAAAAAAGTCAATGCACGCCATTTTTCAAGTTCAAGTCCACCAACGTTAATAAACTAACTTTCCTGTCTGGTTTGTTTGTCGGACAAAATGGCGGATTCGGCGTTAAGATTGTCTGTCAATCAATCAAACTCCCGGCGAAGGGTGAATTCTAATGGTCTGAGAGTGGAAAAAGTTATGATAAACTATGCAACCAAATAAACTAAAATATAGTGAAGGTTTAAAAAATAAAATGATTTAAATAAATGAATGAATAAATAAATATTCCCTTGTGGAAGATTACACATGCTAATGATAATTAAGCATTTTGTAGCTAAATTAACATTAAAGTGTTCATTGATTACACTAAGTTTTATGCATTTATGCAAAATATAACAGTAGACAAATAACAAACATTTATATCGGTTTTCTTTTTCATCTTTGATAGTAAAACAAATATTTCCCAGAAGTCCCCTAAATTGCTCCTGCAGTGGTGGAGGAAGTACTGAATCTCAGTACTTAAGTAAAAGTACAAAAAACCAGAGACATATTTACTTTAGTAAAAGTAGAAGTACCACAATGACAACCCTACTTAAGTAAAAAGTAAAAAGTACGAAAAAGTGTAAAAGTGTACGTGTAAAGGGAATACTGCTGGTATAAAGCACCTTATTTGTTTAAAGTTTTTGCAAACCACATCACTACTAAACCTACCTTTCTTTTACTGTCTATGAAACCTACCAATGCGTTTCCTATGCATGTAAAAACTAATTTCCGCGTATAAATTGCACGATAAACACACTGCGTGTTATAGAGACGCATTTAGTGTGACCGGGTTGATTTATCTATGGCAACCAAACTTCACTGGTGAGACAGAAACGTGCGATGAACGGACGGTCAGGATGACGTTTTGGCAGGGGAAAAACTGATCAGAAAATGTAACGAAAATGTAACAGAACGTTGTAGAAATGTAGTGGAGTAGAAAGTATAATAATTGCTGCAAAATGTAACGAAGTAAAAGTAAAAAGTATGCACTATTGATTCTACTTAAGTAAAGTACAGATACGTGTAAAATTTACTTAAGTAAAGTAACAAAGTATTTGTACTTCGTTACATTCCACCACTGTGCTCCTGAATGACCTTTTGAAATCCAGCTGGAATGACTAAGAGTTTTCCCTGTCTAACAGAGTGTCTCCCACGAATACGAATAGCTGGTTTCAGGTGGCAAGGGCATGTGAGTCAGAGCTTCATTGTTCAGACGGTACAGAACGTTCTTTTGTGTCGAGTGCAGAGGCTTTCTGTTGTCCGTCATCAAGCACGATTCTCTTACCTGTAGCAGCTCGTCTCTAGAAATCTTGTCATCTCTGTCGAGGTCGTATAACCGGAAAGCGACTGTGGAGAAATAAGAGAAAATCGAATTATTATGAAAAGCTTTAAACCGCAACACTATGGTCATGAACACACTGCAAGAGCTGGTGGCAGAGAATGTCTTTCCTGAGCTGAAATAAAGAGTAGCTGTGAACTAAAGCAGGTTTCACAGAATCATTAAAAACAGTAATTAGGTTTAAGAACAGGATCAGTTCAAGGCAAGCCCTTCGTTTTCTTTCGGGAAATGACATTTTGCCTGTTTATAAAAGCTTTGAAGAAACTGATTGTTCAGGTCTGAATTTGTATTTTCTAAAACTAATTTTAATGTGTCTTTTATTCAAGTTTTATATTAAGTATCTAAAAGGGCATTAGATGATCATTCCTTATGTTGTGACTTTTTAAACCTTACAGCAAAAATAGCGTTGGAGATGTTGTTCCATTTATTTTTGTGAATCAGTTAAAACTGGCCATTTCAATGAATTTATTCTGCTATTTGTGTACAGTATTTCACTCAAAGCATTTACAAATGTTCATGGAGGCCCTGCAAAATTATAAACATGGAGGCAAAATTATATATACACTACCGTTCTGAAGTTTGGAGTCGGTAAGATTTTTATCTCATGCTCACCAAGACTGCATTTATTTGATAAAAAAATACAGTAAAATTGGTAAATATTGTGAAATATTATTACAATTTTAAATAAGGGTTTTCTATTTTAGTATATTTTAAAATGTAATTTTATTCCTGTGATGCAAAGCTGAATTTTCAGCATCATTACTCCAGTCTTTAGTGTCACAAAAGATTTGCTGGTCAAGAAACTTTTCTGATTATTATAAACTTTTCTAATTATTATCACATAGTTGTGCTGCTTAATATTTTTGTGGAAACCCTGATACTTTATTTTCAGGAATATTTGATGAATAAACAGTTCAATAGAACAACATTTATTTAAAATATATATTTTTTTGTAACATAATCTTTAAAATTATATAGGGACCTCCAATAGTGAGCTATAAAAATGCTCCCAGGATTAAAGACATTAGCCTTTACAAGAAATGACTTGCCTGCTATGAAACAGACAACGTAGTTGGACGGAGAAATACAAGGAATGTTTAAGTGTAGACGTTGCAATCACTGTGATAATGTAATTCAATCCAAATAATTTGTAGATGTTTGCATGAAGAAAATGTATCCAATTAGATCATTTATTAATTTTAAAAGTACATATGTGATCTATAGGCTTCAATGTCCTTGTAATTGTTTTTATGTGGGCCAGACTAAGCGTAGACTGTACTAGTCTATATATATATATATATATATATATATATACTATATAGTGGGTGAAAAACAGTATGTGAGCAGAGTAGTATATCCAAATTCAAAGCATTCATAAAACACCCAAAAAGTCCCCGGATGACCTACTACTCCTGCTGAGATTCTGAAGTGTGCATTCGATGGACACTTTAGTATCCCATGAGGCCACGGGAAAAGATTTGTTAATGGAAGTGAACTGACGCTGGTATGTCACATGACAGTGACAACAGTGGATATAGTACGTCCGAATTTCATTCATTCTACACTCATTCATACTATATAGAAAGTACATTTTTAATGGTCGCAAAGTTAGTTTCAAACCAAATGTATTACCTACTATTAGGGCTGGGCAAGTTAACGCGTTATTATCGCGTTAACGCATTTATTAATTAATGGCGACAATTTTTTTATCGCACGTTAACGCAGTTTTTTTATTTTTTTATTTTGAAAGTCCGTTGCACACTGGCTCTGAATAGGACATAGGCCTACAGTCAAACCATGATCACAGGAGGGGTGGGATGTTGGTCAGCCAGCAAATAACCCACCCAAACAAGCAGTGGAGAGGCTTTGGCAGGTTCTCTCAGGGGAACAGAAAGGGAGACAGCGCTCCGCGAGTGAATGACAGGCGCTCTATGGATAGTAACCATGGCAACGGCTTCTGTGCGCTACGCAGCTGTAGTCTTTTTAACTTAAATTAAAATTATACATAACTTTACCTGATGTGCCTGCATGCGTGTAGTTTAGCGGGGATGCTCTGCAATGTGAATTCCCTTCTGTTGATGTCCTGATAACTATTTAAATATTGGAAACTCACAAACAGCGAGCCGAGGATCAGTCTCTCTTCCAATGATTTGTACTGCGCGTCGTGTACAAAAAGTTATAGACAATCAAAGTCCTTTTAGACAATTCAACTTCGGCAACGGGCGGGCGCGGGCGCGTGCGTGAGGCGAGCATGACCGCAACAGTTTCACAGAACGCATCCGCTTGTCGCTGCACCTGTGCTCGACCAATTCCCCTCACTCTAAAAGGCTGATTTATACTTCTGTTAAGGCCAATTTATACTTCTGCGTCGGGTGCGCGCAGTAGGTACGGCGTAGCATACGCACAGACGCGTACCATACGCCGTACCCTTCGCCGTAACCTGACGCGCACCTCCTCAAAAATGTAACTACACGTCGCGACGACGCGGACCGCAAGATCTGTGATTGGTCGGCTTGGGAGCATCGCGTTTCCTCCTATGTATTTCCGGCGTGTTCTTCTGCACCGGCCGCCATTTTTAAATTCTAAGTACAGCGAAACTGTTAAAAAAAACAAAAACACTCGACGCAGAAGTATAAATTGGCCTTTACGCGTTGGTTGGTTTTACTTCTGCGTCGTTGTCCGCGTTGACGCGCAATTACACATGCAGAGGGAGCATGTGAAACCCGTGGAGCGGTTCTAGCAATCACAGCGCTTGCGGTACGCGTAGAATTGACGCGTTGTTAAATTTTTGGAGAGGTGCACGTCAGGGTACGACGTAAGCTCGACGCAGAAGTATAAATTGGGCTTTACCTCTGTTTAATGCAATCTTAGTGTACGTGGGAAACCATGGCATGACCAAACTGCTACTATCAGAGAAGTAACGTTGGTCGACTTAAATCTCATGACCTCTGACTATACATAGACTGTTTCTGCTGCTAAAAGACACCTGTTGATACCTGTTAAGAAAAAACCCAAGAAAACTGGACTCGTTTTAACAAGCTAGATAAAAGGTAATGCCCTGGCAGTGGCAAATAGCTTTGTTTTAATATTTGATTTGATTACATTAATGTTTAAGTTGAGATTTACAATAAATATTTTATTGCTGTGTAAAGGGAATACTGCTGGTATAAAGCACCTTATTTGTTTAAAGTTTTTGCAAACCACATGTTGTTACACTTTTGTGTATATAGCAGTACATTTAAATCAAAAGTGAGTAATACACTACTTTGGAATTCAATATTAAAGTTTGCGCGTAACAATGCGATTAATCGCGATTAATCGCAAGAAAATCATGCGATTAATCGCGATTAAAATTTTTAATCGTTGCCCAGCACTACCTACTATATAATATGTGATTTCAGACGCAGCAAGTGAATGGATTAGAAAGGGTGATAGATTACAAAGACTTTTACAAAGGATTGTAAAAGTTTGGATTTTTCTGAATTATATTTAACTCCATTCTTCTATAAATTACTATTATTATTTTTTCTCTCTCTTTTCTTAATTGATGCATGTCATTATACTTTGTACTGGTTAACAATATGATAGGTCCCTCTGCAATGGTTTTTTTTTTCTTTTTTTTTTCAACTATTTTTATAACTATTTTTAATGTTCTATTGTGATTAGCCATGATGTAAATAAAGGTCATTTAACTTTTTTTTGTACCGGAAGAAGTGCCTTGGACTCTTTTCTATGGTGTATGTTTGAAACCCAACCAAAGAGCACCTTCTGGGATTACTTCACAAGGTCCTTCCAGCAAATAGCTTTCCAAGATGCTTTCTCTGATCGATATGAGAGATGTTTGGGTTGAACTTACAGAGGAGTTTGTTGGTCCTGCTGTTGAGCGGCTCTCCAGGTGTCAGGACTTTGTTCTTCTCATTGTCCTCCACAGGACGGAAGTGAGCCAGAGTCCTCATGAAGCCTCTAAAGTTCACCTGATCCTCACTGAGACACATGAGAGAGAGAGAGAAATACACAACTTTAAAACAACTGCAACTGATATCTGAATCTCTATAGGCCCAGACGTCGCTCCAGACAAAATCCCTGATGCTATAAAAACTGTTGTCCTAATTTAGACTCGTGCTTTACAATGTTTTTTACAGACATAACCACAAGAAAGTTTCTTCATGCTTCAAGAAATTTGAGTCCACAGTAAGAAGCAAACACTCGAAACCAAATAAACCATGAAGAAACCAACAACCCATGTGACACCACCCACATGCTGTGTGTTTTGAGAGAGTAATGACACAGTTTGAAGCTGTTACTAAACATGTTGTATCATACAGTAACATAATCTCAGCCACAAACTCACACAAACAAACACTGATAAACTTATATGGAAACTATATCCTCTGAGAAATCTAGACGAATGTGATGAAACTGGTCAAGAATTTCCCCCAAAGCCAAACAAGAGAAAAAAATGATATATTAACTTTCATTTCTTTAAAGTATCCATAAAAACGTTGGTTTCCACAAAAATATTAAGTAGAATACTGAAGACTGGAGTGATAATGCTGAAAATTCAGCTTTGTATCACAGGAATAAATTACATTTCAAAATATATTCAAATAGAAAACAGTTATTTTAAATTGTAATAATATAGTATTAAAGTCTTTACTTTATTTGTGATCAAATAAATGCAGCCTTGCTGAACATAAGACTTCTTTCAAAAACATTAAAAAGTCTTACTTACCCCAAATCTTTGGACAGATTATAATTATAATTAAATTCAATGTCAAATTGCAACAACAAAAAAACAACAACTTATTTTACTTTAAGTGAAATATGGACACCCTTTTCTCACTTTAATATTACCCATTTTATCTTTCTTTTCCACTTACTTATGTTTTGTTGTTTTCTTTAACTTATATACATTGTTGTTCTTTGTACAAGCAGAAAAAAATACAGTACACTATACTAGTTCAATAACAGATCTAATATTTCAAATGTCTTCTGAGATGTTACTCACCCCTCTGGGAAGAAGGCATTAATTATCCGATCACCGAGAGGATTTATGGCCAACTCAGGAATCCTCTGGAAGTCTTCTCGGCTGAGATGGGGAGAGAGAGAGAGATAGAGAGAGAGAGAGAGGATGAGGTGTTATTCAGTGCCAGAGGTGTAAAGAGAACCTGAAATCCATACTTGATTAAAAGTACAGATACCTTACAGTGAAAAATTACAAGTTACAGGTCACCAATTTCAGTACAACTTGAGTACTGTGCTTGAATAAGATCATGTTCTTACTTTTTCTCGCTAGTAATTTCTCGCTCAAAATGACATCAGAAGTGGAAAAAGTTGGTCACAAAAAACAAAAAAACATTACATTTACACAAAATCTGACCACCAACTGCAACTTTCAGACGACATCTTTATATTTGAGCTAAACCAAAGAGTATAGGACAGTTACTGGACAACAGCACAGATAACAGTTTTTTGAGGTAGTTTTTTCTTGCATTAGTGAGTATTTCCATTTTATGCAACTTTACACATTTACTACTATTATTAGTTACCAACTCCACTAGGTCTGAAATATATTTTGTACGTTTTAATACCGTAGATCATGCTACAAACATGATGATCTTGTACAACATGATGCATTGCTGTGTCCGTTATCCTATAACAACTTTAATTGCCACTTTGGACAGTGGCTGTGTTTTTTGGTTTACATAGTCTTGCTTTAACGGTCATTAATATAAGATAGTACTGCAAAAAAACTGTTTACTGTAAAGCTATTCTATTGCTGTTATATATTTATTGTCCAACATTTACATTTTAGTACAATTACATTTATTTGCTGAATTCATTTATTTCATTGATAACTTATTTTTGTATGCAACGTTATGTGTACCTCCTGGGAAACGGTCTATCGTTTTTATAACTTTATGAACTGATATCACTTTATTCTTACCTGTCACACTTAATGTGGAGAGTAGGCCTAATATAATTAATTAAATCCTTGAACTTCCCTGTCTCAAGTTATGTGGGCATGGGAAAAAGCCTGGTTAAGTAGCAACTTCTTTTTAACTGCTATAACGTTAACTGTTGTGAGTTAAAATAATCACCTAATTATTTCAACCTAAAAATGACCTCTGCACTGGCCTAAATATATGTATAATATATGACTGCCGAGTCGCTTTCACCCCAAAATGGCGGACGCGTAGGGCTGCTGCTGGGCGCTGGTGTTGCAATGGAACGTTCTATTGGCTTTCACTTCTTGTCAATATACGTTCTTTGGCTAAACTGTCACAGAATGGAACGCACAGGATTGTGGGATATCAAAAGAAGCAAAGGATAGATTTATGATGCCTTCAAAAATCAATTTAGCTGAAGGTATATCAGGAGACAGGAAGTGAAGCTATAATTGGATTTGGACTTGCCTTGATGCCAACTTGGAATTCAGTTGTCCCTTCGGAGGACAGGCAGCATTATTTAGCTTTCGGATGTAGCAAAGTAATTGCATTACTCATTGCAAAAATATTGGAGTGAATTACATATATTTAAATACATTAACCAATTTCATTTATTCAAATACTTCACACCACTGTTGTGTGTAAATACGTTTCGAATGAGTTTCAGGTTTTACAGATGTGCCTCTATGGAAACGAGTCGGTGTAACATTACTGTATTAAGAAAAAGTTTTCCAGTAATAACATGAGAAACCATCCTTTTTTTAATCATTAAATGACTGTTCTTGTGAAAACGTCCTTACCTGAATTCACAACCAAACAAATTTGCTATAGCAATGACTGTTTTCAAGCATTTCTTTCCTGGTGAAAAGTAAATCTGCTGAAACATTTGATATGGCTTGATCTTTTCAGGCTTGTTTCTTTGAGCCAATGAGTATTATTCGGCATGCACACGTCTCTGTGCTCTTGAGTTGACATTGGACAAAGTAATGTGTATAAAGCTGTGCTTCTCAGGACAACCCAACCCTGATTCTGTGAAAATGGGACTTGTTAAAAGGATACTTTGACGACTATCCTTTTATTGTTCATCTAGTAAAGGCTGATACGAGTAATTATAACGTGATTACTGTGCAGACAGCATAATTCGATACGTAATCCTATTACAATGATGTAAAAAAAGAGTTTAGTAACAGATTATTTCGGGGAGTAACAGATTATTTCGGGGAGTAACCTTCTCGGGCATAAGGAAAGTGGCAGTGCCGGTGACCTCCACACACACACAGGACACACACCTTGCCGCCCGGATTTCAGAGGCTATTTATTGTTCAAACACAAGAGACCATGTCTATAATCTCAGTCTGACGGATGTTTGGGGTGACAACAAATACAGCAGGTCATCAACACTGTTACGTGCAGCATTCGGGATTTTTTTTATACTAACCATATCGCTGAGGATGTTTGTTGAAGAAACCATCATTTTAAACCACAGAGGATGTTGTCATTAAAAACAAACAATTATAACAAGAACACAACCTGTGACTTCAGCATATTTGGTCAACAGAATGAGTTTCGTTTCATAAGTCATGTCACAAAAATCATTCAAATCTTTCACAAAAGTGTCCGTTTTCAAAGTTGAATTTGGCTTATTATACAACACTGTTCAAAAAGGTTGGGGCTTTTTGAAAGAAGTCTCTTATGCTCAGCAAGACTGCATTTATTTGATCAAAAATACAGTAAAAACAGTAATATTGTGAAATATTATTACAATTTGGAATAACTGTTCTCTATTTGAATATATTTTAAAATGTAATTTATTCCTGTGAAACAAAGCTGAATTTTACTCCAGTCTTCAGTGTCACATGATCCTTCAGAAATCTTTCTAATATGCTGATTTGCTGCTCAAGAAACATTTATCATTATCAATGTTGAAAGCAATTTTTTAGGACTCTTTGGTGGATGGAAAGTAAAAAAAAACACACATTATAAATGCCTTTACTGACAATTCTATACAATTTATCCTTAGAATCCTTACTGAATAAAAGTACGCATTTCTTTCAAAAAAGAAAAATCTTACTGACCCCAAACGTTTGAACGGTAGTGTACTTTGGTTTATTTATTTATTTATTTTTTACAGTTTATTTAATCTGACTATGATTTTTGACACTTTACACTTTAACCTTCTGGTGGTGGTCAAAACTGACTGAATTTTATTTTTTATTTCAATGAAATGAATGTACTATATTTTAGTTCGATACTGTTTTTATTTAATATTTTGTATTTTTAGGGGATTTTATGGTACTAAATTCAATTTATGGAATAGTTCATCAAAAGTGAAAAAAAGAGTTTATATTATTATGAAAAATGCAATAATTTTTTTTAATTTTATATAAAATATAGATTTTCCAAAACATATTTTACTCAAAAACTGTGAGAAAATTTAAGCCATAAATCTAAACAAGCTGTGTTCCAAATTTGAGGTTGATTTCTCAAATAATTTGCTTTTCAGTAAGATTTTGTTTGTGCGCACTACCAAACATTTCCACTAGATAAAATTCGCTTCCCATTCGTTTCCAATGCGGTCCTTTTTGACCGCGAACAGTATAAGTGTGACTATTTTTTTCCGGACCATTTAATTTTTTAAAAATCATATCCATGATTTATTTATTTTTTGGTTTACATAGCAGGTTCCCGAACCTTCACCAAGTTTTGTACCATTCCGATGAAGTAAAAAATAAAACTAAAACATAAATATTTCCAGTCAAAAACGACCGAACAGCACTAGAGGGTTCATTAGAAACGGTTCATTTTTAAGTAATGTTTATTTGTCAAATGCACAACAATAAAACATACTGCAATACTTGTGGACAATTTGTGCTATAAATGTACTATTACTGCTATATTTACCAGAACACAACCAGCACCACTATGCACAGCATGCGTTAAATATTCTTCATACTTTCATTGATAATAATCATGGTGTGTACAGAGGCCACTCCAGTTCTAAGGACACACGTAGGACATTATGGAAACGACAACGGCAATGTCACACAAGGAAATGCTTTCTTCATTACTGTCCTTGAGCTCCCTCTTTTACAAGGAATATGTACAGTAAATGTCCTATTTTTAACAATGTAATAGGAAAAACCCTTTACTCATAGTCAAAACTCAAACACTGAGCTAGACATTCCTTAACATATTAACTTACAGAGCCTGAGGCTGGAGTGAATGTTAAATTAAAAGCGAGTGTGCAGATATAACAGAGCTGCTTGTGTAATACCTGCATCCTCATTGGACAAAGGTGTTGTAACATCACAGGGTTAAAGTTCATTATTACTCAACTCATGTAACTCATGTGTCTCGTACCTGAGCGCTCCGTTCTCTCCTTTATCGAGACTGTGAAAGCGGCTGTAGAGGCGAGTGATCTGACTGTGCGAGACTGTAACACACACACAAATGAAGTCTGGTTAAGGACAGGGGACATTCAGGTCACAGATGTGATCATCAGATTGACAGTGCTGGTTTAAGGCTTATCTGAATGACCTAACATACTACAGATTTATCAAGATATAATGAGCAAGTTATAAACAACTTGAGATCAATCTAGACAGGATTACAGGGTTTCTGTAGGTTTTATGAAGGTAAATTTAAGACCTAAGATGTTCTGCTCTGATTTAAGACCTTTTTAAGGCCTTTATTTGTATAAAAATAAAGAATTTTAAGACCCACAGAAACCCTGATATCCATGAAAATGTCAAAATATCCAATATCTTGCAAATAAATAAAAGACATTTATTTGCAGGATAAATAGATATTTTGTAATTTGCATATATTTTGATTAAATACACACTGAAGTGAACTTTGCTTGTACATTTGTTCAACTACATTGCTTTTTAAGTCATCAAACCCATTAAAAAAATATAAAAAAGGGACCATAATTCATAAATCAAAACGGTTTTGATTCTAGCTCTACACACTGTTCATTATCTAAACCAACTTCATGAGGTTTATATATATACCGGACTCTTATTGGATGTGTTTCCTTCACTTCAAAATGAATACATTTAGCAAAAAATAAATAAAGCAGCTTTGGAACGGTATATTCCTGGAAATCCCTACACAAATAGGCTAAACTGTTGTTTATCTTTTTTTTTTTAACACAGTAAAGCCCATTTCCGACCACATTAGTGGAACATCTGCCACAACAATTCAGTCTTTGATCAACACACAGCTTAGAGTAAATAAAGTAAGTGAATACAGAACAATCCTACGTGATAAATTAAATCCCACCGGATACAGCGGCACATGTTAAAACTCAACCTTATAAAGAGAACCAGTGTGAAATCCTGGATTCTTCCCTGTAGGCTCTGACACCAGAGGAAGAGAGTGGAAAAAACGACAACAACAAGTAGGAGGGCACTTTGTGTGGCTTTACAGGAATGTAGTGAAATCTGGGCTTACAAACACATAAAATAGGTCACATTCACACAAATCTGGGCATTAGAAACTATGAAATATTAACAGCCATTCAAAACATTTAAAAAGCCTGCAGCCCCTTTGAGTTAGGTTTGCGTGGTCTGTAAAATAAAGACTAACATATAAACCCATATAGCTCCAGTAAGGTATAAACCGTATCCTCAGACTATTTCTAGATCTTGTGGGGGTGTACGTCTCTCCCTGTGGTTCATCCGTGCCGAAGGCCAAAGCACTGAGACGGCAGAGATCAGAAAATGCTGCTTTTCCTGGCCCTCACTGCCTCACACCAACGATCACATAACATTTGGTAAACCTCTAATTACAGCTGGACAGGTGTAAACAGTGTCATTAAAAAATAAATATTTGCATCAGTGCAATGCAGATTACCAAAGCCTGATCCAGATATAACTTCATCCAGATGTCGGCAGAATAGGGCTGTGTTTCCCCAAAGCATCATAAGCCTAAGGTGATTGTAGAACAATTGCCACCAGTGGTCTCAACGATCAACTTAGGCTTACAATGCTTTCGGAAAACGCAGCCCTGATCTGTTCATTCCAGACAGTTGATGGACCCCATTGACTTTCATAGTAGGAAAAAAAATATTATGGAAGTCAATGGGGTCCATCAACTGCCTGGTTACTGACATTCTTCAAAATATCTTCTTTTGTGTTCAGCAGAAGAATTAAAATCTCAAACAGGTTTGAAACAACTTGAGGGTGAGTAAATGTAAATTTAAGTGAACGATCCCTTTAAGCATTTGCCTATTTAAATCCAAACAGCAACTTTTTTTTTCTTTTTTTTTGTCAGGCAGTGTACTGATACAAACACACCAGCAGCTTCTGAAAATGAGAGATATTCATCTGTTGCCCCTCAAGACACACACACACCCCACTCATATCATGAAACAGACAGGCACACACACACACACGCGATCATCTGCCCCATAGAGGAGCAGGGGTCCCCTAGACAGTTTATTTCAGTGGTTCTCAAACCTGCTCGTGAGACCTCTACTAATAGGTTGAGTTGAATTAGGTTTGTTATACAGGTAGTTGAAGCATAGCATGTTGTGAGCTTCTATTTTGTTAAAAAATATAATATTAGGTAGGCTATTCCTATAGACTTTCTAGTTGTATCATAGTATAGTTAGTTAGTATAGCATAGTTCTATCATATAATAGTTATGTATCATTTAGCAGCACACTGCAGGTCTAAAAGGTATAGCTAAATGTCACACCACAGGAAATGCATACTTCCTAAAAGTATGTCAAGTCAACTAACATTACCCATTTAAGACAGATAGCACTGTATTACATCAACGCGTGTGTCATCATCATCAGAACTCTAAAACCAAGTCTATATAAGCAAAACACACTATTAACCCACACAAAACTAATACTCACATCCAGTTTCTTTCTTGATTTCTTCAATGTCCTCTTCTCTGAGTAGAGATGAAGCTCTGGAGCCCATGACTGCTGTTTCTCCTGAAGATCAGCTCGAGCTAACACGTGAAAATCACTCGTTATCTCTAAACACAGGGCTCTAGAAGGCTGTCAGATGAGCAGTCAGCCTCCGCAACTGTCTATCCGGAGAAATGACCCGCTTGCCTCTGGATTACAACAGGACTAGGCGCGATACAAACCAAATCCAGATGAAAAAAGGAAGAGTTTTAAGAGGCTAAGCTAAAGGCAGGTCGGAGTGGATCTCGTGACGTCAGCAAATGCCGATTCGGTGTTTGTGTGCGCTGCAGAAATAACGCGTTTTGATTGGTCTGTGCGGTTGTCTGTCAATGGGCGGGATTTAAAGGGCCAGGCGTGTGCAAAATAATTCCTAGAAATATAATAAAGCGGGTAGAGTGACAATGAAACGGGGATGCCATGTCAGAAAATACAACATGCACAGCATGAGAACAGCACAAAAGAACCTTTAGAGTTATAAAGAAACCCGTTCAAAAGACAAAACCATATTATAAAGACTAAAACAGTCTAAACCGATTGTTTGTTTCTTTATAATAGTCTTCATTGTGGCTTAAAATAAATTTGCTTTTGTTGTAAAAAGAAATTAAATAAAGTATTATTATTATTTAAAACTCTAGCCTATTAAATGGCATCAGAAATGCCATAGTCAAGCTCAGACAAGTAAACTATAAATTATAGCTTGAGAGAAGAGAATGAAAGAACATGATGGAAACCAAGAGTTAAAGTTCATTGCTCTGGAAAAGGCTTGGCAGTTGCCTTACAAGAAGGTTTGTTCATTACACTGTTTTTATGCTTTATTGTTACAAATATACAAATTTAGTTACACTTTATTTTAATTTGTCCCTCTTGTGTAATTATACATTTAAGTACTGAGTTATAGTAATAAACTGTCCTTATTAGGGTTAGGGTTTGGTTTAGGGTTAGTTGCATGTAATTAGGCCTGCCTAATTTATAGTTATTACTATAGTAAATAAATGTAGCATGTGACAAGGACACATTAAATAAAGTGTTACCACAAATGTTATACCTGCTGTCACATACAAAATATAAATATAACTCACATACAGAGTTTTATAAAGCTCTCATATTATGTTTGCAATTATATTATGTTCCCACAATTGTTTGCAATTAAGAAAGGCCACATGTTGTTGTATAAACCGGAAATACTAAGCTGGAAAAAAATAGATATAAATCAGAAGCAACCTTTTTATTGTTATTATTATTCCTTTACATTTATTTATTCATTCAGCCCTGTCCTGAACAAAGAGCTTTAACATAACATACTGCAATATCAAACATAAGACAAACTACATTAAAACAAATCACACCAAACCTACAAATAAAAAAACAATGAAAACATTTCATTTAACATTTAAAAAAATCAGTCTACTGATATACAAATACAAAAATCATTTAAACGGCTGTACAGAACATTTTGAAGGATACTTCACCTTCCCCTTGTTTGAGCAATACTTTAACATAGATAACTCCCAGTCAATGTGATGATCTGTCAGGGCCAATATGGTGTTGTTTTCCCAACAAAAAATGATGTCACTTCCACGAGGATGATGTCAGTAGCTGAGCTTTAGGTAAGAGAATAACAGAGAGTCTAATATAAGTGTGAAACATTTCAAAATTATAAAATGAAGAAACATCTGGAATATTTCATAATAGCAAGAATAGCAAAATCCACTCAACCCAAAGTAGTTAAATTATATATTCACCCTCATAATCCTCATAGTCCATGTAAACTCACGTGGACTGAGCACGCAGCATCCATCATTATAAAGGCTCATCAATGCCTTTATTTCTTCAGGCGTCTGAATAAAGCCAGGATGCTCTTCACCTCAGCTCTTTCACAGGAGTGCAGTGGAGTCTGTTACAGGGAGGGTGAACTGCGTCCTGGCACGGCTGTTGCTCCACACTGGAAAGGAAAGCCTCACAAAGGGTTGTTAACACATGCAGCTCAGAAAATAATCCACCTGCAAGAAGAGAAAGAGCATCATGATCGATCACAGTCACTTTTCTCTTCTCTGCCCTCCGGCAAACGGCTCAGGACTATTCAAACATGCACTACAAGATTCAGAACGAGTTTCTACCCCAAGACTGTTCAACACACACACACACACACACTAATGTTTGTGTTAGGTAAGAATACTGGACACTCATAATGTCAAAAATGTCACTTTTGTCACCTTATTCTCTTATGTCACTTATTGTCTTATTTATTTTGTCACTGATTATCTTATTGCTTACCACTTATTTTGTCATTTCTGTATATATGTATTTTTTGTTTGTTTATATATCAGTGAGGTTTATTGTATTATGTCTATATAATCTGAGTAGCATTCAAATATGTTTTTCATTGTACATAAATTTGGCTTAGAAATAAGGAATGATTCGTAATGCTTTGTTTGTTTGCACTTGATAAATCAGATAGCTATATAACTGTCTAATAGTCTAAAAACCATAAATACTAAGCTGGAATCAATTAGATATAACTCACAAACCACTTTTATTATTCTTATTATTAATAATATTTTGAATTTATTGATCTATTCATTCAGTGCTTTCCGACACATGTCCAAAGCAATCAGCTTTAAGATCATAATATATATGTTTGTATAGCGCTTTCACAATACATATAGTTTCAAAGCAGCTTTACAGAAAATGCATGTCTGACTACATTACAATTTAGAGTGATCTGTTAGTGACTGTGTCCAAGTTAGGTATTTCAGAAATGTACTGCTAGCTCTATTATTAGGCTATATAATTCGAGGACAAAGGTGAAATAACCGTAGCACAAATAACTTGTAGCACGATAGAGTTATTATTATTATTACTAAATATTTGAGAATAAATGGGTTTAGAATTATAAATACTTTCATACAGCTGAGCTGGATAAATATTGATGCTGGCTGGGAGAAAATCAGGTGAGACAGTGGTCACGTGGTACTTGTTACGTTACACAGAGATGGTGGGTTGGACGGACCAACCACAGTCATGTGTGATTAGGCTACTGAAAAATGATTAGATAATAAAGTCATTTATAGAGATTTCTGGTTTCAGAGATTTCAATTTGTATGTAAATAACAATAACATATTTAAACGATTATACTTTTTTAGAATACAAATCTTCTGGCAAAATAGCGCCTACTGGAGGAATAACAGCGTTGTGCGTTTGCGTGACAGTGCTGCCATCTACTGCATGAAGAGAGAAGTTCATTTCTGCTTCATTAAGAGTTCATTAAAAACATTCATTACTGCGTCCAGCAATACAAATAATGCAAACATCGATCGATCTATTCGTTGAGATATCAATATAATCGATATTTAACAACAGCAACAATTTAACACTTGACCTGTTAATACTAACACTTACGCTATTATAACACTACACTATTATATTTTTACTATTCTTTTTATTTATAAAAAAGAAACACCTTGCTACATGTAGTCTAACTGGGTTAGCGTTGGAGCAGCACTTGCATATTTGGCCTATTGTTGATTTGATTGCTTCTATTGTTCTCCTCATTTGTAAGTTGCTTTGGATAATGATTACATGATTAAATGTAAATAAAATAATAATACATTTAGCAACATTTAGTTTAATACTACATAAATATCAATTTGGGTAAATAGCTACATATAAAAACCTAAATATGACAAATGCTCAACCTTTAGAAATGTTGTAAAGATTTTTTTTAGCCTGACATTTATGTAGGCCTATATGATATGAACTTCTATAACTCCCCTATATAAACCAGAAATACTAAGCTGGAATAAATTAGATATAAATCAGAAAGAACTTTTATTCATTATTATTTTACATTTATTTATTCATTCAGCACTTTCAAACTACACATGTAGACCAAAGTGCTGAATAATCAGCTTTAAGGTATAACATACTGCAACAACATAAAACATTAGACAAACTACATTAAAACACTTCACACCAAACCTATTAAATAAATTAAAATTAAATTAAATTTATTACTATTTTCATTTTTGAGGTTTGTGTGATGTGTTTATGATGGCAGCTCTATTATTATTATTGTATAATTTGAGGACACAGGTGAAATAATCGAACATTTAGCACAAAAGAGTCATTATTATTATTATTATAACTACTACATATTTTAGACTAAATGGGCAGAGATCATGAGTTCAGGGGTTTGCCGGACACTCGTCTGTCTCATAAAGCTGTGTAAACTGACGCTGGTTACTGGAGATTTAAGAGCTTCTGATCTTTTTCTGTGTGAGGGATCAATTCTAATGCATGTTCAGGTAGCCGTTCATATCACAATCCTAATATGTACCAATTTTGAGGACCATAACCACGTGGTGCACAATGTAGCCTATCTTATAACACCCTTAAAAATGGTTCTTTATTGGCTTCTAAGGTTCCATGAAGAACTTTAACACCCATGGAATCTTTGCATTGCATTACACAAAAGGTTCTTTATCGTGGAAAACTGTAGATTATTAAATTGTTCTTCACACTAAAAAAAAAGGTTATTTTCATATGCAAACCCTCTTTTGGAATATTTATTTTTAAAAATGTATATTTATTGGTTTGTGAAATAACACTTTTCATAGGTTACATTAGTTGACTACATCAGTTACCATGAACTAACGATAAACAATACTTCTACAGCATGTTTTAATCTTAATTAATGTTAATTTATTGATGCTTTATTGAAATTAAATATTTAAAATAAAAAAAATGTATCTGTTAACATTATAGTTAATGAGAACTAACACGAACAATGAACACATTTTTATTAACCAAAATTAAAGGGATAGTTCATCATTTACTCACCCTTGAGTTGTTGCTATGGAAGTTTTTTCCTATCATAATTAAAATTAAAATTAAAAATGCTTAAAAAATCAAAGTCTCAAAACAACTGCTCAAATGATGAATCAAATGGTCAAATTATTAAATAATAAATCAAACTCTCAAAACGGCTGCACAAATGATAAATCATATGCTCAAATGCAATTTAATTTCCTCATTCCTGCAAGCATGAACTGTTGCAAACACACAAAAGAAGATATTTTGAAGAATGTTGGTAAACAATCAGTTGATGGACCCCATTGACTTATGGAAGTCAATGGGGCCCATCAACTGTTTGGTTACCCACAAAAACTATATTTTTTGTGTTCAGCAGAAGAAGAAAAATCATACAGGTTTGGAACAACTTGAGGGTGAGTAAATTATGACAACGTTAATTTTTGGGTG